TTTTATAGTTTTATCATAAAAATAGCTAAACACCACTTACCACAAAGGCTAAAAACTCATAATTGAGTTACATGTGTGAAAGAATTAAGTTAAAGACTTTATTTAACCCTTTCACCTCTCTTGTTGGCAGTGAGACGAAATCGGATGTTTCGCAACCGTATCATATTACGGCTTTAAAAAAATTTGGGAAATGTTTTTTTATATTTTTTTTTATTAGTGGTCTATAACTTTATTTGAAGTTAAATTACTGGTAGGCTTAATGATCTGCATAATAAATTAAACCTAGGCATGAGGGCGGAGCCCTAAAATGAAAGAGGAAAGGGTTAAATGAAAATGAAGTTAATATAAATGGAGCCAATGTAAAAATTGTAGATCGTCTTTTTGTTGCCAAGGGGTAAATACATATTTAGCTAAACCTCAAAACTGACCGGATATTGACAGTGAGAATCCTGAGGCTTGTGTGCAGGTCTGGTGTAAAATTATATGGAATGAAACCAATACTATTCTATTATATTGAAAATGTTATTGAACTTGCTTTTCTACTAGGGGACCCGAGCACAAATTTCACATTTTAATGTCAAAATTGCTCCCAAATAATGCAATTCAAAGATTATTTTTGTTTAAGCCAGCTATTTAATTGAATAAAAAACTTATTTACAATAAATAAATATGTTAGTTTTATATATACACCATACATGACTTAACTACCTCAATTAGGTAACAATTATAAAAATGTAGCCTATTTAAAATCCATTTTCATAAACTGTTTTGTCTCTTGTTTACAATCTGATTGTATTTAAACACTCAACCAAAAGATCAGCTGTTAAATTACAATCAAAATTCTAAAGTAGTAAATAAAAATCACTGATTTTGAAAGTGAACTCGTAGAAATAAATTAAACGCAATAAAAGCTCAAAATAAAATGACCTGTTTCGTTACCATTCGTCCCTCCGCTGGATAACAAGCTTTAAAACGACACCTCAAGCGAACAAATTAGGTAAGCAGGACAGATTAAAAATGGTGTTAAAGAGAGAATCCTTATTTATTAGGTATATTATAGATTGATGAATGGATTATCATAAAAGAGAAATATGCTAATATTGTATTTGAATCTAAGTCTATCTTTGAGAGAAACATGGTATCAAGCCAGGGATATAAGATGGAGGCTCACCACATAACTACAGCTGTAGTCTACCAAGGTATATATTATGCATGTCTGTGTCATTACTGTTCCCTAGACTGGTGATATTGCCTGCCTTGCACCGCCCTCATTACACATGTGTAGCTGACTTACACAATTTCTTTTACAAAACTGCTTTATTCAGTCATGCAGTTTTAAGTACATATGACTAGTGTAAATAGTAAGAGTAGTTACATAAAACATTAACATGTTAAAACAAACGAAAAATGTGTACATAATAAAAAAAAAATAAATAATACACAATTGTTGTAGGCTACTAATAGGGTAAAAAATTTACTTTAGTGAAAAAGCAATTAATTATCAAAACATTATTATTATGATGGAGAACACTTGGTTTCGAATGTTATTTTATACACAACTGTTGTTATGTGTCTAAGTTTTAATTTTTATCGACAAGTAATGAAAAACGGATATCCAATGTATGTATGTATGTTGTTTAAAGATTTCTTTTTATGTTATTAATTTGCAAACTATATGCCTAACACCTTCTTGTATTATACATATGTTTGTGATGGACAGTTTTGAAATGTGAAGGCTATAAACAGTCATAATACCCACAGTGAGCATCTTTCTCTAAATTAAGCTTTCGTATTGCATTATTTGAAGGAGTAACATTTTGTTTAGGTTAAAGTTCGCCATTGCAACATATACATCAAAACCGTATCAAATTTAACCAATTTCCATAACCAAAATTCAAACCTCTTCATGACCCTTATGATATTATCTCACACTTACCAATTAGTTATGCTTATGTATTCCAACATATGTGTGCATTTGTGGGTCTAATGGGCATTAGACATTTTACACAAATTAAAACTAGAGAGCAAACATACACAAACACACACTTCAGCATATAGTCCTACACAAAATCTACACTACTGTTAAACATCCAAGGAATAGGCTAAGACCGAGTGCAAGAGAGAGCCTGGGACCAATCTAGGGCAACAGTTTGACTCCTTTTATGGGAGAAACAGTCACCAGGCTTATCCCGGGTTACCACATGGAGTAGTCTTTCCTTCGCCTTCTGACACACCGGTGATTAGGCCTAGGTGGGGAATTATTGAAGTAAAATATGTGCTGATTATTACAAGGAATTTAGATCGGTGAATTTATTTCCTTACTAGACATGTTAAAATGTTTTAAAAGTATTATAGAGGACTCTTATAACACAAATGTTGTAATTTCGGATATTAAATTGGAATAAAAACTAGTACATTACATATATTTATATCAGGTATGTCATATTTATTTGTAAAGAAAGTGTTTTGTATATTTACAGTGAAGAAGTAAAGGCGGTTTCACACTGGCGTCCGCGGACGATAATTTCGTCCGCGGACGGATGAAATGATTCGGATGGATGCTACGCGCCCCCTTCACATTGCGAGCTACGTTTCAAACGTCCACTCATTCGCGCATGCGCATAGGGAAGTTGGCCATTCCTACTACAATCATAGATTAAACATACTTCCTCTTACAAATCAGTGGAGGTGTGCAAACTGTCTGAGCCTTCTGTCCCATGGTGTCAACCCGGATTTTCTGTTCCGTGGCTTGATTGAAGTAGTGATGATAGTTTACGACGAGGTTGTACTTTTGTACTCATTATCAAAAAGGAGAAAGTGGGTTCATCCGATTAACAGAAAGCGGCAGCGATTTGGTGAATCATTGTAATAATGCAAATAATCATATTAATACAAATCATTGTAATAATGATTTACTGTACAGTAATTCGTATAAATATACATGGTTATTGGTTAGGATATGTACTATCTCTTTGGAGTTTAGTCGCAATTTCCAACCAAATTTTATCTTTCTCTTGATGATCTATATAAATTTCTATAGTTGTATGCTAGATAACTGGGTGGGCACGGACAGCCTCAATTAATTCAGCCATAACAAACAACAAGGGAGAACACGAAACAACAACTATAGCTCGGCCGCTTAGAAAACGACCTGCGCGCTAATGCTAAACCAATGCTGGAGGAGGTCGTTTTCTAAGCGGCCGAACTATAGATGAACACTATGGCTGTAAACACAAACTACTAAACACTGTGATGCGAGTGACACATGCCTCGCTGAGAGCTACACGTGGTTTGGTGCTCTGTCTGCGCATGCGCGAGGGCGTGATCGTCCGCAGACGTTTTAGAAAAATCGCTCCCGGAGCGATTCCGCCAAATCGTCCACGGACGAATTTCTGCATCCGCGGATGGACGCTACGTTACAATGGGCGGTGTGAACGGTCCCATCTGATAACATGGACTGCGATTTATTTTCGCATCCGTCCGCGGACGAAGAAATCGTCCGCGGATGCCAGTGTGAAACCGCCTTAAGTCATGAATACTGTAGCCTACTTGCTATGTTTATATCCTAAATCTTGAGAAGTTCAAATAATTAATTTTTAAATCTATTTAAAAACCTCTTCTATTACTTGTAACAAGATACTTTTAGTTAATAATACCGCCGCCGCAGCAAACCTGCAGACTAAGCGAATTTTCATTAGGCAGGAATTCCACTAAATTATTCCCTAAAAATTGTCAGATTAATTTCCTATTCAAATATTATAAATTTTAATGAGTACGTAGGTTTGCTGCTACAGGGAGAAAATAAGGTGTGTTTTTATTGAAATATTGATACATTAGTATAAAGTAACTTTCCAAATTTTATTAAAATATGCCCATGGATAAGAAAGCTACAACAGTTTATTTATTCTCCATAAGAAAAACATGGTAATTTTAAATTTACACTTTTTTGGAATTTTTTCTGTAATCGTTAAGCATTCAACAACGCTTTAATATACTAAATTGATTGTTTTTTGAGTTTAACAAAATGGTCTGGAAAGAAATTGCATAATGTTATGTTTTCAGGATGAAAAATGGGAAAAACTCATTTTTACCCCATAAAACGCCCCATAAACCCCTGTTCCCATAGTCCAATCATGCTGGTTTGCGAACTTGTTCGAATAAATGTACATCATCACTAAAAAAAATAATAATAATAAAATGGAAAATGTAGGTATCATGTTTATACTAAATTTCATAAAAATCGGATCATTTTTGCTCGAGTTATCGTGCTAACGGACACACACACATATATAAATATGGTATATTGTCCGCGAGAGAAAAGAAGTCCCCTGAGCTCCGGCCTATTCGTAGTTTGAAGGCGTTACGCTTGAACGTTTCGCGCGACAATTAGAGCCGTCTTCACTCTGCTCTGTTAGTTGTTATGCTTAATTTTTGTATGTAATATCAGTATGATTTTTATGAATCTATGTCATAATATTTTTTGGCATAGTTATACTATCGAAGGAAACCCATTTTCTAGTGTTACTAAGGCAAATTAATGACTTTTCTACTTTATGATTTTTGTTTAGTTAAATGTAACAATACCAATAAAATACAATACTGTACAATAAAATCCTTTTTAAATCAGAGTTTGCAAGCATTAATCCCAAATAATTAGTTGATCCATGAATATACTTACGGTGAATGCATATTACCGGTACATAATATAAGTACTCGAGTACAGCCAATAGAGATCGATGGAGTACAGAAGTTTCAATAGCATTCATCAATAAACAACTTATTATTAAAGTTTACCACGAATTTTAAAGTATATTTAAATATTGTATACACATTATTTAAAAGCATTAAGTTTTATTCATAAATAGTTCTTTCAAAATGTAAAATATTGAATAAAATAAGTAATTATTTAAAGAGGCATAAGTAGTAGTACTAACATTTTTGAAACTAATTTTAAATAAAAAATGTTAACATATATCTAAAGTGAGTTATGGTAAATTTACCTGTTGTGTTTCTTGATCGAACATGTTGTTTAACTTTTGCCCAGACAAATTCTATGGTATTTAAGTCACACATGTAAGGCGGAAGTCTTAAAATGGTGTGGCCTTGTTGTCGTACCAAGTTATCAATTTTGTAAACTTTTTGTGGTGGTTTAAGTCTTTCAATGGCTTCAAAAAGTTCTGCTTTCCTAGTTGTATTTTGTTCATAGTCTTCGCCGTGTTTTGACAACCACTCAACCATTACTTTCTTTGTTGAAGACTTATTAGGGACTTTGTCTTCCTGTTCTCCATGATACGGAGCGTTGTCAATGACTATGACTGAATTTGGCGGTAAATTTGGCAATACACGTTCCCTAATCCATTTTTCAAAGTTGGAAAAATTCATTTGGCCATGGTAGTCTCCTTTGGCACTGTTTGCCTTATAAATAAGCCGACCCCCCTGCAAAAACCCTTCGTTTGACCCAATGTCTACGACAATCACGCGGTTTGACGCGTTCATATCAGGTAACACACCATCGACGTCTACACTTTGCCAACATTTCTGGAACGTTAAATTACTGTCTATCCAAGTTTCGTCCAGATAGAAAATTTTCCTTTTTTGTTCCCTTAGCTTTCTTATCCCTCGCAAATACTTAAACCTCCAATTAACAATGTCGGGCCTTTCAATCAAACATTTTCTTTTGGAACCACATTTCTTCCACTTGAACCCCATATCTTTTAAGAGACGCCGAAGTGCCCATTCGCTCCATTTAAAATTTATTCTTTCTCTCAAAACAGGTAATAGTTTTTTACATGTAGGGACAATTTTTTTGTTCGTGTAAAAATCGCGTATTACATCTACGATTACACGCCTATCAAAGCTATCTATTTGTACTTTATGGTGGTCAGCCTTCTTGCGTTTTTTCCCGGGTGTACAGAGTTTTTCATCCGGTGTTTGTTTGCCGGCTTTTCTAATTCGTTTAATAGTTTTTTCTGACACTTTACAATAGTTTGTGGCACGTTCTGTTGCCTTTTCTATCGGCACTAATAACCTTTTGTCTTTACATTCGTTGTCACAACACTCGATCACCCGCCTAATTAAATCCCTCTCTCCACTATGCATAGTAGCACCACGTTTTCTTAAATCCATAGCTACAAGGACCGTCCAAAACAAAACGAACTCACTACGCGAACACACGAGACTGCACTGAATCAAATGACGTGACCACATGATGATAATCCACTTACCAAAACAAAGATATGAGTAATTATGTTTACAACAGTTGTTTACAGACAGACATAGAGGCGAGGCGCCCAGATGCTTAGCGCCTGCAAATAGTGCGCGATACCCTCCAAACATAGCTGTGTTCGCTCTGGCTCAAGGGACTTCTTTACTCTCGCGGACAGTATATATATATATATATGAATTTGAACTGATGGTGTTTTTGGCCTCTGGGGAACTCAAAACTAAATAGTAAATCGGTCCCAGGTCCAGGTTTTACCATGAGACCTAGGGTAATAGCTTATTCCCAATATGGGAAATAAGCTAAAAATGGATAAAGGTAAAGCAAAACAAATTTTTGCCAAAGTTGCAACAAAGAAAATAAGAAACGACGGAACCTTTGTTACTTTAAGAAGACATATAAATGTTTCACAAAGGAAGGCAACGCTAGAACACTTTCCTCAAGCCACGGATTGCATTTCTCAGCAAAAGAGTATTACATTTTGTTCATACCTTTTCAAATTGTTTGTTTTTCAAACCAATTCAGAGCTTGTTCCATTTCTTTTTTAATGTTTCCTATTTTTATAATAGGCAGAAAAAACATATAGCTAAATTAAACTACGAAGACTACAGTTATGGATACTTGTATTGTTTTTTTAGAATGGATTGAATCAAATTGGATACAGCATAAATAAATAACAAGTTCATGTTTAAGTTTAAAAAACCAAGCTACGTTTTACAAAATAAACAATTTAAATCCCAATACTATTATAAGAAATATTTAATTTTTCTATTTTATAGCTTGTAATTAAGAAAAAAATGACAAGCAAAAAAGAACAATATTGACATTATTACAAGAGCAATCAGCTAAAAGCGTGTTTAAACAGATTACATTAAAGGCATAAGGTTGGGCAAACAGAAAAGCCAGGACATTTATCTTCATAAAAGGTATTTATTTACATAAATTGCTAAACTTTTATTCTCTGGAATAGGGAAAGTATGATTTTCATTTGATTTCCTAATGATTTTAAAACATCATGTATACTTGTTTGTTTAAAATTACTGGGCGTTACTAATGAATACAAACCTGTATTCAATGGTGTTACTAAATAGCTTCTTTTAACAGTTTTCTATATCAACTGAATCAAACACCCAGTTATAAAGGACAAATTAATAGAATGTTTGTTGACTTAAGAAGTTTGCATCACTGGTACCTAATATCCAAAATGTACCTCATGACCTTGTACTGGTGATCACCTAAATGTCAATTAACGTAACCGCCTGGTGACAAATCTTGTTTGGCATAGCATTCATGATCAACTGATTTGATGCTATTATTTCTAATTCTAAGTGAGTTTGAGGAGCAAGTGGTATAGTGATAGAGTGTGGGGCGTTGGTTCCGAGGTTCTGGGTTGAAATCCCGCCAATCACAAATGGATTTTACTTGCGATCCTCTAGTCTAGACCTAGCCTGAAGTAACGAGTGAAACAGTTCTCGGTGGAAGCCTGCATCCTAGGATGTGAAGAGATTACATCAAACATTTATTGGTTGTTCATGAATCAGCGGAAGACATTGGTAGGTAGATGGTGGAATGAATTAATGAGTATATCCATTTCAATGATTTCTTATAACATCACAAAGTAAATGAGACGTAGGTCTATCTATATGAGTCAACGATTCAACCATGTTCACAAGTAACTAACACTTAAAAAGGTCAGAGTAAAACAGCTTCAGTGGCAGTGTAGTGACCTTCTCAAACATGTTTACGCCAATTTAACAGTTAGTTGTTTAACACTACAAAGGACTTTTTCATTTTGGCTTGACATCTTAATCAAATTATGACTGAAGATTAAAGTCAAATGATTTCTATATCATTTTGAACTAGAATTCCACATAAAAAACTTGACTTGTTACTTTTATTCAGTTATCCATGGAGTTTATATAGTAAAAAAACTGAACTTACTAATTTTATAAAATGTGAAAGTTTGGATGATTGTGATAACCTATATCACATGGTTAATCACGTGAAAGCTACTCGACTAATTCAATTACGGTACATTTTGATCAGAGTAGATAGTGGTGCTGCCTTTTTGCATAAATAAAAGGATGGTAAAACATTACTTAATACTGTAGTGATTTAAATTATTCAGAATTAAGAAATAGTTGAAAGAATACATTTTAAAGAAAAGGCTTACCACTATACGAATATGTGTATATATTTTGACATCAAAAGTAGGTCTACTGATGACTATTAACAATCAATAAACATAAAGGTATAAAAATATTCTACATATCACGGAATAAAAACCTAAGCTATGTTGCAAAAGTAGAAATCGTTCAAGCTGAATAAACACTCGATATGGGACAATGGACTTTTATAATGACAATGACGGATAAGCTAAAAAACGTTGTGATCACCGAACTGTTTTACAGCAACTTTGTACTTCACTTGTATTGTTTTTTTGAATGGATTGAATTAAATTGGATACATTATCTATCTATATATTAATAGGCAAGCATGTTTCTTTAAAACCTTTTTTCTCAGCTCGTGTGCATCGTAGGGAAAATCTACGCATACCGTTGGAAAGCTATTTTCCTGTAGGTGTGCAGAATCCCTTTATAAATTTAAATAGGCTCAAAGATAAGCACAAAAAATGAGTTTAAAAATTTGAAAAAATTAACATGGATCTTATGCGTTGCTATGCTGGTTACGAAATAACAACGAAATATAAACAGAAAATCAAAACAAATGGAGGAAACTCCAATCACATGTTTTATTTACAGTGTGGGGTGAAAATAGATAAGTGAGTACATTACATATTTTTGGTCGAGTTTCGACCACTGGACGACCTCTTGTAAATAAATAATACTCCCGCCGCAGCAAACCTGCAAGCTAATCAAATTTCCATTTGCCTGATTGGATTTACACTAGCATGTCACCTTAAAAATATCACATTTATTCCCTATTTAAATAGAATTAGTTTAACGAGTACTTAGGTTTGCAAGTACTTAGGTTGTTTGGTTAGGTAGAGAGGGTAAAAAAAGTTCTTTTTTTGTAAAATGTTAATAGTTTAGTAAGAAATAAATGCATCTTCCAAATTTGATAAAAATACGTTCATAAACAAGCAAACTACAACAGTTTACTTATTCTCCATAAAAATAACATGGGAATTTTAAATTTACAAATTTTTGGAATTTTCTCTGTAACCATTTGGCACATAATAATGCTTTAATATACTAAATTATTTGTTTTTTTAAGCTCTACAAAATGGTTTGGAAAGAAATTGTAGTCTGATCATGCCAGTTCGCGAACTCGTTTGAATAAATGTAGGTTTATACCAAATTTCATCAAAATCGGATAATTTTTGCTCGAGTTATCGTGCTAACGGACACACATATATATATACTGTATATTTATGAATTTGAACGGATGGTGTTTTTGGCGACCTCAAAACAAAAAAATAAATTTGTCCCGGGTCCAGGTCTTACCATGAGTACCATGGTAATAGCTTATTCCCTATATGGGAAAGTTGCTAAAAAGTGTATGTTTAAGTTTTAAAAACAAGCAAATAATAAACTTTATTTTACAAATGATTGTTTTAATAACAATTAATGGAAATTATTTATTTACAGGCAAACTAAACTTTAAAATAGTAGAAAAACAAGTTATACTGTATAATAAATTGTACAATAAAACACTGTTATATTTTGATAGTACTGTACAGCATAGAATGCAAAATCAATATGTCGTTGAAATGTACAACGTCAAATAATCTTTCTGAATGAATAAGCTGCAAAATAGTTTTACTCTATGTAAGCTTTGCTGAAATGTTTGGGCTCTACGTTTACGAAGATGTTAAAAATGCAGGGCACATTGCCAGTCTGCCTCTCTTACCGCCCTCCCGGCCTTAACATTCTCAAGCTGAAGATCAAAGGAGCTCATTTCCGTACAAAATTGTGATATTTAATGAAATTACTGTAGGCTTTTGATACCAGCTTAAATCTATAGAACATCACATCGGTATAAGAATAAATAGGCATATCCTTCAAATTGCATTTAAGCCATATACATCTTCATATTTTCATATTCATTACATATGCATATATCATATATCATTACATATGCCTCTTCTGGATGAATCTCAATCTTTATCATACTGATTAGAAACACAGTGAGAAGAACTTTTATGAGTCTACTATCTGCCTTACTCGTGCTTTGAAACTTGACAAGAAGAATGGTTCGGTTCTTAACCCTTCCCGGACGGGTGACGGATATATCCGCCTAAGTCTTTGACGATAAAGGACGGGTGGCGGATATATCCGCTTATGGTTTTTTATGTTCCGGACGGGAAGCGGATATATCCGCCTTCTCTTCAGACAGACTGGAAGGTGCTTGAGCAGTAACCAGATGTTTCGCGGTACCAAGGCGCCACTTTCCTGATCTCTCCATGGCTGCGCTCACTCCCGCACTCCCCCCTCTCTAACGCGCCTACCACTCTCCCGCGCCACCC